ATAAATAAATAAATAAATAAAAATAAATTCATATGATTTCAAATTTAATTTCAAAATACATTTGTCATAGGCTAACACAGGATTACCCTTTCCCAAGCTTTTTGAGTAAAACTGACATTCCAGGTGATATGCCACACTTATCAGTAATGATTTCTCACATCCCAATCATTTTGAAAGATCTTTTGACACCAATGCCTCAGTTAAGAAAGTCCTGATATCTGATTTTTAGCTCACTTTCAAGCCCCTGTACAATTAACTATAGCCTCATCTCCTGCCCCTTCCTCCTCCACACACCACCTAACTTTCTCTGAATAAGTCCCAGCTTTATATTCCGGCTCTCTGTTGCTCTTGATCACAGTTCTCGGCCCAAATCAAAGGTTCTTTTTTCTGGGCCTCCCTGGTGGCACAGGGGTTAAAATCTCAGCATTGGCAAGCTATCACCAGCCAGGGAACTGATGCACATGGCACAGGGACCTCTTCTGTCTCACCTGCTGATCCCCTCAGCAGTGTATTTCAGTTGATCCACCTGTTCTACTCCATAACCAGTCTCTGGTGAATCTTCTCACCACCACCCCCAACTCTGACCTACGCCCCAGTTCTTGTATGACTTAATAAATAAAAACAAATCTTTAAAAACAAAGGTTCTCTCTCTCTCTCTCAAAAACGGGGGGGGGGGGGGGGAAGGGAGGGAAATGCACGGGACTATGGTAGTGGCACAGGGGTGATATGGTGATGGGAAACCCGTGGGGATTACAATTGAGATTTAAAAAAATGTGCAAAATGATGTAAAAATAAACTTTTTAATAAAAAAAAAACAAAGGTTCTCTGTTCTTAAAGCTTTCCCATTGATAACAGCCATACAATCATAAAATAGATACAGTTGCCTCCACCTCAATGTTCCATATCACCTGGTTTATTCTTGCATAATGTACTAGAAAAAGGACTAGTTTTGAAAAGGCAGATAGATTTTAACGTTCATGTCCCACATTTACTAAATTGTGACCTTAAATCATTTCCATCTGCGGGGCGGTGTCCTGTTCTTAAGTTCTTAAATTTAGATTCTTCATATGGCTGTCAGTAGGAACAAAAGTTCTTGTGAAAGAATTTGGTAAGTTCCTGGCTCAGAGTCACTCCTCTTCGAGAAGTGTTTCTTGTCGTGTATGAAATCCCCCTCAAGATCATAGTCCTTTTACTGGTCACAGAGCAAAAAATAGAACAATCACTACTGCACTCACAAACTTGAGTGACTGTAACGGAAATAGCTAAAGTCCCCCACTGTGCACAAGTAAACACTCTTCCCTTAATTTATGGAGCTGAAGTTTTTAAAAATGAGCACCTGGGCAGCAGAGGGCGATAGAGAGCTAAAGAAAAAGATGGAAGGGATGCTGGACCACGTATGAAGTCCCATTAATTAGTTTTTATTTTTATTTTTTTAACTTTTGTGCAGAGATCTGGGGTATAGGCAAGAGGTGCAGGGGGTGGGGTGGGACTAGATGATTCCTCAGGGACAGAGTGGAGAGCAGAACAGGTGGATTTATGGCTGAGGGGAGCAGTGGGCAAGACAGAGAGATCTGCTGTTTGGCAGCATGGGTTAGTTAGCTCCCTGGCTGGCTGGGGATAGGCACTAATGCTACAGTGGCTGGGGCTGGCTTGATAGCGCTGACTTTAACCCCTGTGCCGCCAGGGAGGGGTAGTACCTCTATTCTTAATACATGTTCCCATTTGGTATTTAAGCTTACTTTCAAAAATCATTCAAGTGTGGGTCCTTCCTAGTGGCACGAGGGGGTAACTCTCAGCACTATGAAACTATCAGGAGCCACTGCAGCTTGAATTAGATTCCCCGCTGCAGCCTTGGAAACCACATGGTTCAGCAGACCTCTCTGTCTTGCCCACTGCTCCTCTCAGTAGTGTATTTCGTAAGTCAGTCCACCTGTTCTGCTCCCCACTCTGTCTCTAGTGAATTATCTCACCCTCC